TTTTAGGCGCGGTGCACATCTCTGATGTATACTCTTATTAATACAGAACTCACAGGCAATTTCTTTCACTCACAGGAAGGGGGCAGAAATCTTCTTAGAGGGGACTTAAACCTTCGTAGAGGGGGCTGAGCCCCCTCTAGCCCCCATCTGGGTACGCCACTAGTGCGTGAATTTTGGCTGTTGTAACTAAATCATTCATATCTTTCACCCACACCCTAGTATAATTAAGTATTTGGCAATTTTTTTCTTTAATTTCTTTATTTACTTTTGATTTATAATTTTGTTCCTGTAAGTTTTGCTTTTCATTCTAGATTAACTTACATCACTAGTATTTTTGTTAATATTTTTTTCAGTAATTTATTTTTCAATAAAGATCTTCAAAAACTTACTTGAATCAGTTCTTTTCCTTCATCATTCCTGTTAGTTTAGAAATATAGGCCATCTCTCGTTCTATCAGACTCATGGATAAAAAAAATTAACCAAAAAATTGGTTTTTTCTTTCCTCTTATTCACACGACCAATAGGGTGGGGGTGTCGTTGATCTGAAGAAGTACCACATTGCTTTCTACTTATGAAATCCTTATGTAAAAATTATAGTTGTGAAACAAATGGAAAAGACAGCTATTTTTAGTTAATAGTCAACTTTAAAAATCACCATAAAATTGATAATTATATACATTTAGGTAACAACATGTTTAGTTTAAGGCACGATGAATGTCTCTTCTCAGTATTACCTCAACTTTTTGCTATTGAGAAAATTGATTCACATAGAAGAATACCTGCTTTTCTATGTTCACGATTTATACGTTCCGTTATTTCGTTCGAACTCGATGAAGATTGTATTCTACCAACATTAGTTAATAATGACGATTTGTTCTTTCCTCAATCATCTCATCTTACTCACATTCGTATCACATTACGTTACTTCAATGATTGTATTCATTTACTCAATCAGTTAGGCGCACAACTTCACTCGTTCGGTGTGAGCTTTACACATACCAATATACGACAATATAGGACAATATCACGAATAGCATCTGTAAATATTTGTTTTCAATTTAGTATTTCAATAAATTAATTTCATTTAGATATCCTGTCCTTATTTGAAAGAATTAACAATAACAAGTTATCGCAATATTCCTTATTATGATCCATTTGTTGTTCCTCTTTTACAACGTTTGACAACTATCGAATATTTGACATTATTATTAGCTGTTGGTGTAGAGAAATTTGTACCACGTCACTTTATTGATGGATACGGTTTACAAAGAGATATTATTTCTTATATGCCTCATTTACGTCAATTTCATTTTCATATTCGTTCAATAGTAGCATATGCTTCTCATATAGATATCGATACAATTCGTCAAAGTTTTGTCCATCAAGAACAATCTGTTGATTGTGTACTTGATTATTCCAATAATAGCTGTGGTCAATTTCAAATTTTTTCACTTCCATTTATTGGTACTCGTCTTGATTTTATCTCAAATCGATTTCCGCTTTTCGATGAAAATAAAAACACTTTTTCAAATGTTACAACAATATTACTTTTTGATGATGTAAAGCCTTTTGAATATAATTTTTTTAGACTCGTTTCTCGAGCTTTACCTCATCTTAAATCACTTGAAGTATTTAATCGACTTGAACAAGAAGAGAAAACAATGATAACAACAAATTTAATTGAATTTCCTCATTTGGCTACACTTATCTTGGATGATATACATATGGATTATACTAAACAATTTCTTTGTCGAACTCATCTTCCATGTTTAGTAGAACTTCTCATTCACTATGAACCATTATCAACAATTATCGCTCAACATCCAGAAGAAGCTAGAAATAACTGTTCGAAAATCGAATTTCTTTATTTTGTTGATGTATCTACTGATCCAACAGATCCTCTTCTCAATTTTTTTCCAACCTTGCACTGTAAAATTAGTAAAAGTACTTGAATTGAAATCTAACTTCGAAATACAAATGTTGATTTGTTTGTTAGAAGTATTTCGACATTTTATAAGAGCGAAAACTTCATAAAATTTGAATTGAACAAAATAAAATTAGAGATAAAATATTGATGAAATTTGTTCTTATCTATTAACTTAAGAGGGGGTCCCCACCCCTCTAACCATATCTCAAATTTAAACTACAATTAGAGGCTACTTTTGTGATTATTAATCCAAAGTTTCAGATTTATTCATCAATCCTAGGATGAGTTGTGGATTATTTACTTTTTGGTTGGGATCTTATTCACAATCATCATTACTCACATTAGAAAGAGGGCAGTAAATTGTAAAAATAAAACATAATTTTTCTTCTTGCATAAATCGATACTCATATGTTCAATGAAGAGACAGAACGAAAAAAAAGTCTATTGGATAATCACATTATCAAAGTTTTCTCAGTTTTTCTTTGGATACCATCAGTTGATAGTACTATAATGCATTGCAATTTTTTTTCGACTTATTGACAGAGCTGCCACCTTTTCTGCTTTTAGCAGAAAATTTCTGCTTTTTAGAGTTTTTTCTGCTTTTTTTAATATCGTGTTATTTATATTTTTAACCAAGATTTTTTTATCTAGAAGTTTTTTTTTCATAATTATAGAAAAATCCTTATCAATAGATATTGATAGTCTTGTTTTATTCTAATTCTTTTAATTTTACAAAAATGATCTGTATGTTTTACTGGCTACAAATAAATAGCAATGTATATTTTTGGTTTTTTAATCTTTTCTCAATTTATGTTTCTCTTTCTATTGTATTTTGTATTAGCCATCTATTCCATACAAACCAACATATACATTCTTTTGTATGTTGGGTTGATAAACATAAATAATTAATATGATTAGTAATGATACAGGTATAGAGAAACGAGGTGAATATGATAATGACAGCAGGATTACTAAAGAAAATAATATCAAAATACTAGTAGTTGCTGAACAAATGCCCATGTCTTCAGAAGTCGAACCAAAAAAAGGAAATCGAAGCAAAGCGTGTTTCATAAAGAATGACTTAAAATCGTCGAATATCAAACAGTTTTAAAAGAATATAAATAACACTCATCTCAGGCAACATGTATTGTTTGTAATCAACAATTTTCTGTACATTACTGAGAGAAAGCTGATAATGACAATCATATAAACACTTAGAAACACAAAAAGCACATGAAGTCTTATGATTTTAGTCAACAGTTATTTGAAACTCCTCCTCATCACGTGCTGAAATGTATGAATATTTATTAGGTAATCAATATTCATTAAAGCTCCTCCTCAAAAAAGTCCGTTTTCGTCAAAAATGTCAGAAAATACGTAAATGCATGAAAAGATAGCCCAGAGATGTCCACAGGGCAGGGCCGCCCTGTCCTGCTCTGTCCTGATACAGAGCAGGGCAAAAATTCTAAAAATGCCCTGCCCTGCTATTTTACAGGGCAGGGCAAAACCTTTGCGCCCTGCTCATTGGAATCAAAAGTTTCGTTTTATAAAAAGCTTTTTTATTTATCTAACAAATGTGACATAATAGAAGAACAAGAAAGATTTCGTTATCAGCTGGTAACAGACTAATCGTGATGGCACGGTAAAGGTACATTACAATGAGAATAGTAGAAATGATTGGAGAAACAAAAGAATCACAACGATGGATATTGACGATGCATCAAATCTGATTCCTGTCAAATCCAATTCCTAG